ACTTAGATTTAAGAGTGATATATTGAGATGAGTAAGTAAGTCACCTTGAAATTTCTTTTGAAAGAAGTCAATTTTAGTTTGAGTTCAAATACAATATTCAACTGCTCGCTCAAAGGTTAGTATTAGTACGTTTTTATATCTAAAAATATTAAGTATTTGCTTATAATATATTCCTTATAAGCTAGTAGTCTTTATAGTAATCGCAGTCTGAAAGGCTTTTAAACTTTTGCTAGTGTATAATAATGCTTCTAAAACCTTTTGTGTTTAATCAAAAAATTAAGAAAAGGTTACTGTATCCCTTTAGGGGGTGGATTACAAGTGATACAGGATGGATCATTTGTTAAAGTAAAATTGCCAGTAGTTTTTTTAAAGTTACATTTTGTCTATTATATATAGCTGAATGGTTTCATTAAAATTTTATTAATTCTCTAAAGTTATTTATAAAGTATTTCTCATAGTATTATATAAACAGAAAAAGAGAATCCTATTATTATTGTCAAATGTTAACATATAATCCTGTTGAATTGCAACTATTAGATAGAGTGTTCAAATAGTGATTCTTTTAAAGTTTACATAGTAATCTTTGTGTAGTTTAACTTAGACTTTATAATTTATATGATAATAGACTCTTAATAATACTAAAAATAGATAACTCAATTAATTCAGGGTGATAACAATATGTTTATTAACAATAAGAAAAAGAAATAAAGAAAAGAAATAAAAAAATAAAAAAAATAAAAGAACTAAAAGAACTAGAAGTATTAAATGTAAGAGGCCTAAAGATGGTCCCCATAATTGTTTTCAAATTTCAATTGAGTTGCAACTTAATTGCGTTATAAGGAAATTTAATTGCGCCACAAGTTGCAACTCAATTGCGCCATTTTTTTTATTTGTGGTGACCATCTTTAGTTAGGCCAGATGTTTCTAAAAGTATTACTAAAGGTATATTTAAAATTAAAACTAAAAGAAAAACTAAAAGCGAACTAAAATTTACATGATTTTATTATTCTTTATTTATATTAAATTTAATACATAAATGGATATAACAAATAAATTAAATATGTCAAATATATCAAATATATCTAATATGTTCTATTTATCTAATATATTAGTTATGTCAAATTTATCAAATATATCCTATATATCAAATATGTTTGATATGTTTGACATTTAGATCTGCAATATTCTGCATTATGTTTATCAATGCAATCCAGTTACAGTAACTAGTTTATCTAACAAGATTAATTATTTATCTTTTTATTTATTTTATAATAGGTATTAATATAAAAACTTCAAAATAAAATATGAAAGTCTTTAGTTTTAATTCAACTGCATATGTGTTAAAGTCAAATATCTTTATATTTAAATGTCTAAATAATTCAAAATCTGCAAAGAAATTTAGATTATATTCATAGAAACTTTAAAAGATTATTAAAGCAACTCTATCAGAAAAAGTTAAGAATTCAATCTTTTCTATTATGTTTCTCTTAACAATTAATATATTATTAAATACTTTTATCAAAAAAGAATATTATTAATAATTTTTGTCTATTATAAAACTATATTTATCATCACTTTTTTGTTCATTTTATAGATTATACTTTCTCTTTTTTTTCTTTTATAGCTGATAATAGTTATTGTAGATAGTTTTCTCTTAAATGAATTTTTTTTTTATATTAATGTTTCTTAATATGATCTATATAAAATTAAATTCAATAACTTTTATAAATTATTTTTTAAGATAAATTTTTTAATGTTAATAATATGAAATTTTCTATTTATTAGAATAATTGATATATACTTTCTTGGTTTTTTTTTACTAACTTCAAAGCTTTCTAAATAAATTAATATAAAATATAATAAATAGATATAATATAATCTCTTTTTACTTCATAAAATTCTAATTTTCATAACTCAATATTATAAGATTTATCATCTTATCTATTTTGTAATGGAATTTAATATTATAATATTCAGCTAGCTTATACCACTTTATAAATATTAAATAATGTACTGTATCTTAGCTCTAGCAGATAAACTGTATATTTAAAAAAGAACTGAATTTGATCAGAACATCAATGATGAAATAGTTCAAATTGACTAGAAATCAGATGGTTAATTTTAGGCTGATTTTGATATTATTTATGACTGAATTATCATATTTTCTGATTGATATAAATATATATTAATAGATGCTATCAATTTCAATTAGATATAGCCATTCAATATCAATTTAGAACTTAAATAACTATAAATTAGTCTAAAATTAACCTTAATTTAACATTAATTTAATATCAATTTAAAATTTAAATAATCATAAATCAGCTTAAAATTGACTTCAATTTGATATCAATTCAGTCAAATAAATATATAAAATTAATATTTTATTATTAAATTTAATAAATATTAAAATTTATTAATAATAAAAACCTAATATAATTTAACAAAAATATTATTGATTAATTTCCTATTTAAAATAAAATAAGCAAATAAATGAAAAAATCATATAAAATAATAATATAATAATAAAAATATAATCTATTTTCCTTCTAAATCCTTTAAATTATCTTAAATATTTGTTATCATAATATTGTCATTAAAAAAAAAGAATAAATTAATAAAATATGATCTATTTTCCTTTCAAAAATCTTTCAAAATTATCTAAAAATATAAAAAATAATAAATAAAATAATAAAAAATAAAAATTTTACACTTATTAATCATTTAAAATTTTTTTTATTAAAGAAGTAAACAAAAATCAGTTTATTATTTTGAAAAGTTAATTAAGATTTAACTTACATTTCAGATTTTTTTTTGTCTAATTTGATAGTTGAAAGCATATTCTATTATAAAAAGTAAAAAAAATCAGTTTATTATTTTGAAAAGTTAATTAAAATTCAATTTAAATTTTAGCTTTTTATTTATCTGATTTGATAGTTAGAGATATGTTTTTATTATAAAAAATAAAAAAAATCAGTTTATTATTTTGAAAAATTGATTATAATTTAACTTAAGTTTTAGTTTTTCTTTATCTATTTTGATAGTTAAAGGCATATGCATACTCTCGCTAATTTGCTTGAAAAATAGATTTTAGTTTTTTTTGAAAGGTTGTATCTGTGACTTGTTGTGAACATCAAGCTAATAATCGAATTTTAGATATATGATTTGCATTTTTATTGACAAGATGCATATTTTATACTCCAAGAGATTGTGTTTTTTTAATTAAAGTTTGATTTCGTTGATGAAGTTTTTGCAATCAATTTTTAGTTTTGTATTTGATGTTTGCAATTCTTGATATGTATATTTGTGTTTATAAAAAGTTTGAGAAATATATTCTCTTGCTTTATTTTGAAGATAGGGAGAAATAAGTTTGCCTTCATTCAGACCTTTAGGATAATGCATAGTTTTAATAAGGTTATTTGCTGCTGGAACTTCTTCTTCAGATAATTGTTAAACTGAAAAAATTAATTGAGTTTGTTCTTTGCTTAATTTTGGTAGTTTTGTCTCCAGATTTAAGGTATTGTCAAGATTTGTCTCATCCATTTCATTTATAATCTTATTGATTTTTCTTTTTTTGTTATTTTTTTTCACCTCCAACTTTTTAGCTTGTGCTTCACGAGCTTTTTTAATTGACGGACATGATTTGAAGTTAAAGGTATTCTTCCTGGTAAAAAATCCTAAATCTTTAATGTTTAATAACTTTTGGTTTGAGTTAGTATTCGAATTAAAACTATAAATGAATACATTATAAATTAGAAAACAACATGACACCTCTCTTTTTTAAAAAAATCCAAAGAAAAAAATTTTTTATTAGAGCTGTGCTCAAAAAAGATTTATTTATTATTTTTTGAGGGTGTAAATGATATTTTTTTTTGAAAAATCGAGCTGTTACATAAAAGAGATAATGATTTAGAACATTTTTGTAAAATTTGAAGCGAAGATATTGGGAAGAGTTTAGTGTTATTAAAGTATGAAAATGCATCGATTTAGTGAGAGATTAATTATAAGAAAAATTTAAACTTTGATGTTTATATCAGAATTACAAAAGATCGTTAATAGTAAATTTTACTATAGGACTATATAAACTATGTTGACCGAACACCCTAATGTATCACGTGCAAAGCCCTAACTCTTGTATTTATTTTTTGCATTAATAAAAATTGCAATAAAAGTTGTGTGTTCTGAATTTTTGACCTGAATACTCATGTAATTTTTGATCGTGAAAGAGTCTTCACAGATGTACCTTGATAATGCGACAACGATATTGAAAAGAAAAACCAGGTGCGATATATAAAAATTTAAATTATTACATACCGCTATAATGCGCCAAGATTGAATCTTTTGATTACAACGCAGGGTGGTATTGTATATTATGAAAATGAAGTACAACGTTCCTGCAGAACTATTTTATTTTTTATCTCTTGCTAACTCTGGAATTTATACTACAAATCTGAGTCTGAGATACAAGCGAAAATTGGTTAATGAGTGGGATCAGAAATTGATGCAATAGTAATAGAAATTTTTCCGAAATGTAAGAAAATTAGCAATTAGTCATTGAAAGCATGTCATATACATATTTCACTTAATTTTTCTTAATTGCAAAAAGAATCACTGCAAATTCGCATATCTCTTTATTTACATTAATTAAAAAAATTTATTAAGCAAATTAATGCTTATTTTTTCTTCTTTGTGACTTCTTTGTTTCCCACCTTTTTTGATCCTTTCTTTTCTTTTCCTAGTTTAATTAATTCTAATAACTCATCAGTTACTACAATTTCATATTTTTTACGTTTTTTGTATAAGTCCTTAGCTTCATCTCGAGATTTTCTCACTGGTATCAATTAAAGAGTGTAATCTTCAATGTAGCAAAAATTTTCCTGTTAAAAGAGAAAGTTTATCAGGGTCTCTTTCATATCACATCCTTCACGTATCATCATTTCATCTGAACGTGACCACATGTAGATAACGCCATCAATTCCTGAAGTGATTTATAAACATCCTCATTTGCCAGGGTCTTTTAACCAGAAAATTGAATCATAACATGAAAGCACAGGGCAAAAATTGGTAATACAATAAAGTTTGGCAAATTTCTTAATTTCAAAATCATACAGAATATTTTTGTTCGTCTCATATTGAAACGGATATTTATCTTTCAGCATTTTAAGAAGAGCGAGCAGATCTTTCTCGTGTTGTGTTCCATCATCATTTGACAATTCTGACATGGCAACATTGTTTGTTGCATTGCTGTTGAAATTGTACGTGTCCTCATTGGAAGGTCTTGACTCCACAGGGATAACTGAAGCCACGCATTGGTTTCGGCACAGTTACCGTGACTCCAGGGTTCCATTTTTTCCAACAGATTCCATTCGCGTCCTGTGGAAGTATGTGCTGGTTCGCTAGGTCGAAATCCTGTCGTAACTTCAATAACTTTACTTTGATTTTCGCAGAACTTATCAACGATGCTCTGAACGAAATCTTCTTCACTCTCTAGTGGTGTTTCTGACATTTTGATTTCAGAGAGATTGCAACCACTGTTGAACATTTCTCGGGTCTTCTTTCTAACATTACTATCCAATTTGCTAGTTGAACCAGGTGATTAGATATTTCGTTTGGCTGATAAGGGTCTTTAAGGTTCTCAGAACTGAGCCGATGTTCATTGAGTAAAAGACACATAGGGTATCCTACACCATTATTATTTGAATCATCGTATCATTTACATTTTTTACATTCACAACTACCCATCGTGGTTCTCCATCTAGATGTCTCAGATATAGCTGTCTGTTCCTCCTAGAATATTATACAAAAATTTAGTCAAGATTTGTTTGAAAAAAAAAAAACAGCATACTCTAAACATACCGGTATGGTTTTAAAAACGTTTTGTACAAATACCTCGCTAGTTGGCTTCTCTTTGACAAAACTTTTAGGTAATTCCATAACTAGAATAAAAAATAAGTTAGCTTTGTAATTTTGTTAAGAGCAAGGGAAAACTTTACCTCATCCGATGAACTAAAAGCCTGTAATAAGATGCTGTGATTGCCGTGTAGCATATGAAATGACTTATGGAATGTTAGAATGTCATGCAACACAATGTAAATATATAATAACTATTACATCATTTGATCTGGTGGTTTTCCAAATTAGTAATGGGATTAATATATAGTAACTATTACATCACTATGCATTTGATTCAGTGTTTTTTCTGAATTAGCCTATTTTTATATACTGGCAATTTGTTGTGACTTTGCATTTGTATTTTGTTCGGAGAGTTTTACTAAGATCAATATTTTGTTAATTTATTTCTGCATGTTCTATGCATAACTGATGACCATTTTGTTCTATCCAGAATATCGAGATTGGGACAAATGAAATCGGATTAGAGTTAATGTTGGGATGTGTTAGTACATAGATAGCTTAGATGAACGAAACACCAGTAAGCATTAGTATAGAAACTCTACTTCACTTGTAAAACGTTTATGTATTTTCGAATCTTGTAATTTATTTTTTTACATCAATAAATCAGCAATTCCGATGAGGATATTACCTCGTTTTTTATCTATGCTAACGAACTTTTGAATTATTCCATCTCGTATAAAATTTATCATTGATAATTCATTGAGAATTAAATGCCAAGCTCTTAACTGATATTGCAGAACTTAGGAAGAAGTTTTCTGAGGTTAAGATCAAGAATGATGAGCTTAAGGATAAGAATACTGAAATCTCTGAACTTAGAAGGAAGTTTGCTGAGATTGAGGCTGAGAGATCTGAACTTAAGGCCAGGATTGCTGAGCTTCTAGAACAGGGTGTGGAAGAAGATAAGAGGCGTGATGCTGAGAATACCAAACTCAAGACCAGAATTGAGGAGTTAGAATCTGAAAATGTTGAGTTTAGAGATAGAATCACAAAAGTGGAACAGAAATAGATGCTAAATGACTTAAAGGGAAATAATTCTTCTAGCAACAATTCATCTAACTTCAATTTGGTTGCAGATCAGGTATCCATGGTAACACATCATGAGAAACTATTAGTAGATACTTTGTTACCTAAAAAATTGATACCAGAGGGGTTACCAGAGGTAACTGTATCAGCTGTTAATATACATGTTATAGATCAATATCATTAAATATTCTTGAAAGACAAGGAAACAGACGCTTTCTTAGATGAAATGCATAAGAAAAATATTAGTAACAAGATTAGGCAGAGGAAACGAGAAAAAAAGTTTAGCCAATCGCATGTGCTTTTCAGAATTCGTTCTCAATTACTTTTGAATCATTTCACTGTGAAGCAGACCTCTTCATGACTAACATTAAACATGCTCTCCTAGAATAGGTAGTCAAAGAATTGATTCTAAACCAATCCTCTTTGGTTCTTATGGAATCCCAGAAGATAGAAGAGAAACAGGTTAATTTATCAGAGATCAAGGAAGCGAAAATCCCTATAATCAGAAAGTAGAACAAGATTTAATATGTGAATTACTTGAATTTATCAGATATCATGATTTCACATCCTTACTGAATTCTATATCTAGCAAACATATTCCAGATGTTTCAGTCAAAGCTAACCTAACTTCAGGTTCTGTACTTCATTTAGCTCATTTATTTAACAAGGTTGAAAAAACTGGTCAGAAAGAAAAATTACAATGGTATTACTATAGTGAGGAGTATGAAAAAAGGTTATAGCCCTTAATTCTGAAAATAATATTAGCGATCAAATGGCAAGAATGCAAATTTATGATAAAATGGAGCTGTATCTTTCTGGTAAAAAGAGAGAATATTTGCGTAAGATGACACAAAAGGCTAAAAACATCTATACGTTATTTAAAAGAATAGGAATAGATAAAATTAGAGTAGTTACATGTAGTGCTTATGTAATCTTTAGGCTAACTGATGCTTAAATCCAGAATATAATAAATCTTTATACTGATAAACTAACCAAATCTCAAAAATTGATCAGTGTGAACAATTGTTCACGTGCACGTGATCTATCGGCCAAATCGAATAAGTCTGGATCGAAAAAATTACCAGATGTCAGGATAAGCACTTCACCTACATCTCAAACTTAAATAAGAAAAGTTAAAAAAAACTGTTGTGTATTATGTTTAATAAGGTCTTGTCTTGGAATAGAACTCACAAATTATTTTTGTTATCATTGAATTCCCATAGTTTTGTATACGGGATTAGATATACAAAAAGCGAGATTCCATTTATGATCTGCATATAATGATCCGAAAGCATTTAGTGGAGAAAGGTCTAAGATGTTTTAACATTTTATTAGAAATATTAGATGGCTCAGAAGCTTTATCATTGAGAACTGTGTTCCACACTTCTTCTGAGGGGGGTTACATGAGATCATTGTAAATTTCAGGATCAATAGAATCATCTGGATTGTATATATGTTCCTATTATTCAAGGTCTGTCTAAAAGAGAGTCAAATATTGCCTTTTAATCATCCACCAAATTGGAATATCTTTTTATCTATGGCACTCTGAATAGCTTTAGATTTGTGAAAATCTATTAATAGGGGGTTTATTTTGAGAAGTTTTGGTCACAAATCTCTTAGAATAGTTTTGACAGTAGCATCTACTATTGATTTTTGAAAAGAATCCTAATAGTAATTAAGATGATGAATATTATTAATGTGATTTGACTAAGAGTGTTAAGCCTTGAGGATTTGCAACGATGGTCAACTGAGGCACTAAAGGTATCCCAGTCTTATTCATTCATGTCATAATAGTTAAAGACAAGTTTTTTAACTGTTGAGTTTTGAGTGAAAGAGGGTTGATTGAAGAGAAAGCAGAATTATTGACAAATATGACAAGATCATCAGGAGGATTGTGTTGCTTGATAAGGTCTAAATTATTAATAAGATGCAGGTCAGAAAGAGTGTCTAAGAATTGTGTTAATGATGATGGATTAGGTAAAAATTACTAACGAGTCTCTTTGATTGGCATCTTTAATGAGATCTATAGTCTTTTTAATTGTTTTCCTTCTAAGTAAAGTGTCTGAACTGGAAATGTAAATGTTAATAATATGGAGTTTATTTTATTTTGAATTGAAAGTCAAGTGAAAAAATGCGATGATAAAATGAGGGGATGGCACAAATTGATTTTAATGAATGATTTTGTGAAGAATGTTTAAAATTAGTTTCTTGAAGTACAATGATATCTAAATTATGTAGTTTATAAAGATTAAGGAGAATGATTGTGAGGCTGAGTGAAAGAGTGTATGATTATAGGGTTATGCAATCATAAATATTTAAAGAATAAATCAGGAGCAGGGCCCTATAAAAAATTTGCATACGTTTTTTCATTATTATAAATAAGTTTAGTATACGTTTTTTGAAATTCCGTAACAC